CGAAGCATCATGGACCGCATTGTTTTGGACCGTATCCAGGCGCTGCCGGGTGTGCCTCTTGACGAGAGGTTCTTCGAGGACGCCGTGACCAAAGTGAGCATTCGTTGCCCTCTGTTTTTGTTGCCCCTTGTCTTGTTGCCTCTTGTAAAAGGGGGGGAGGCACAGCGGCAATGAATATCGAGCGAGCTAACAAATCCAGCCTGAAAGCCCTGCTGCTCGGCGGGCACGGCACAACGACGGACACGTTCACCTTTGCAGCGATGCTCCTGAGCGTGCACCCCGAAGCCATGGCGCGTCTGCGCAGGGAGCACGACGAGGTCTTCGCGCCGGGCCTCGACGCGACGGTCGCCCTGATCGAAGAGGACCCCAAGCGGACCAACAGGCTCGAGTACACCAACGCCGTCATCAAGGAGACGCTGCGCTTCTTCCCCATCGGCTTCACCATCCCGCGCGGCGCCGCCGGGCACAACGTCGCTCTCGTGGCAGGGGCGCGCGTACCCCGTCGAGGGCGTCATGGTCGTGCCGTGCGCGCACACGTCGCACATGGACGCCTCGCTCTGGGGCGATCCCAAGGTCTTCCGCCCGGAGCGCTTCCTCGGCGAGGAGGGGGCGGCGACGCACCGGTATGCGTGGCGGGCGTTTGAGAGGGGGCCCCGTGCGTGCATTGCGCAGGATCTGGCCATGGATGAGCTGCGGGTCATGCTGCTGCTGACGGCGCGGTGGTTTGACTTCGAGACGGTGGTCGAGGGCACGAGTGAGAGGGTGATGTACATGGATCTCGACAAGCTGGTGGGAGATCTGGCGTTCCAGGAGATTGGCATGGAGGCGCGGCCTAGGTCTAGCATGAGGATGAGAGTGAAGCTCAGGGAGCCGGCTTCATCTCAGGAGTAGGTGAGGCATGCATGGGTGCTGTTCGAAATCCAGAGCGCCTCTAGCTTAAGCTTACCTCTGATCCATCTCTAACCGTTCATTCCACAGACGCTTTTCCCAGCCACGATCTAGCAACTTCTGAGGCGTCGACTGAACTACCCCCCTTTCGAGGCCTGGACGAGACGCATCTTTGGAGACTCCATGGGTACACGGGTGAGGTGAGAGATGGAGGGACGCGAGGCCTACAGTAGTATGACGCCACGCTGTGGTTAGTTCCTCTCTGGTACAGCAAAACAGTCTCTCTTGCGCATCACTGTTGGTCAAAATGGTTCATGTCATATCCATACGCCTTGACATGTCATTTTTTTTTCATGCAAGAAGCACCACACAAGAACAAGCAGAGGGCCACGTGAGAGGCCACAATCTCAAAGGTGGCCATGTGTCGGCCGTGTATTGCGTCGTATTCGCAGAAAGGAAAAAGGAGCTCTACACCAACGGCGACGATATGCAGAGGCAGACAAATGGGTGGAATATACAAGACATGTCACACTGGGACTCATCGGAAGCCCCTCGCTGGGTGCGCGCGCGAAAAAAAGAGCGTGCTCGCCTCAGCAAATCTCCCAGAGGGGCCGCGGAAGGTCATGACTGGCGTTGGGCCCCCTGTGGTTGGTCTCGAGTTGTTTCGAGCCAATGTAGACGACGCGTCGGGCGGGTGTCCCCGTTGTGACGGAGCGCGACTCGAGGCCGTAGTAGTCGGAGATGGAGTGTGTGAGCCAGCGCCTGCGAAAAGACCAAGTCAGTAAACGATTCCTCGTGGGGCCGCATCTCGGGGGCAACCCACTTGAAGGACGCGCTCTCGTCGTCGCCCAGCTCGTCAAAGACAACGCCTGTCTCAAGGTTGCCGCTGCCGTCGTCGCGCGTCGCCTTCTTCCAGCCCTGCGCCTTGGCAGCGGCAGCAGCAGGCGTCGGCTGGTTCTTGCGGCCAACAAAGACAATCTCCTCGTCCTCGCTGTCCAGGCCCTCGGCATCCGTGTCCTCGTCTACGGGGGCGTCGCCGCGCTGCTGGCGCACAAAGTTGCGGACCGGCTCCTCGAGGAAACGAACCCAGTTCTTGATGGCGGGGGACCGCTTGGTGTAATCGCGCAGGTCGCGCGGCACCATGCCGGCGCCGCGGCCGGTGGCGGATCCGTTGGCGAGCTGCTGCGTCTTGCGGCGGGCTTGCTGGGCGAGAGATTTTGTGTCGAGGCGCTGGCGGACAGAGGCCGACGTGGGCGAGTCGCGATCCCAGAAGGCGGCGAGGTGGTAGGGAACGTTGGTGGATGGGTGTGTCGGGCGAGGCTCAAAGTCGGAGGGGATGGGCGGCTGGGCGTTGGGCACGCCGATGAGGCGGTCTGGAGGGAGGCGCTGTCAGCACGTGGTAGCGTAGGAAGGGGTCGAGGCGTGTCTTCGCATCAGACAAGTCAGGCCTGTGACCACATGGGGACTCACCATTCTCCCCAGCGGCGGCGCTGTCGGCTGCCTTCACTGCCTTTCAGCGCGGCATCTCTCGACTTCAAGCTGTCACGACGGCTCAGGGGCCTTCGAATGGGGTCGGCACGCGGATCGACTGCGATGGTGACTGTCCGTCTCGTCCCTTCAGCCAGGGGCTTGTCCTCCGCCTGCTTGGGAGCTTCGTCCAGCGGGATGGTGAGTGGCGAACCGGTCCCTCGCGCGATGGGACTGACGCTCAGGGATTGGAGGGCGGAGATGGTCCAGGCCTCGATATCGATGACGCCGGGCGGTGTCGCATGGTTGTTCTGGCGTGAAGGGGTCCTTGGCGACGGCGAGGCTGCCTTACCAGCTGGTGATGCAGCCGGACGCGGGGCCTCAGATGGAGGGGGCACAGCGCTGTAAAGGCCAGGCATAGTGGCGATGCGGGGTAGCGATTGCCAACGGGGGATAGGTGTGATGGAGATTCCTGCGTGACCAATGGCTCGGTCAAGGGTCGAGGAGATGAAGGATGCAAAAGGTGAAGATGCCTCTGGCGAACGGACAGAGGACGAAGCTTATCAGCAAGGAGACCAAGGACGGCAGGGTCGATGGCGATGACCGGCGGCGGCCTCGAGTCATCATGGCCACGGCGTCCAGCACGTGGATGGCGCGCGCAGAGGGAAGGCTCCAGCTGGCGGCAGGTGCGAGGCATGGAGCGGCGTGATGAGTCATTGATCCGGAGCCGGTGCCTTCCATTGCTTGGCACGATGCCCTAAGGTTGGCCAGCCGTGGTTCTGTGCTTCAGTGCTTCACGAGATGAACAAACTCGCCATGTCAAGGCAACTCGCCATGTCAAGGCAGTCATGGCAGACTTGCCACAAGATATACCAACGGTTCCAACGAGTCGACTTGGTCAACGGAGGTCTACAATGACCGGTGCAAACATGTGACTCTAGCATCAATCCCATCATCCCTCAATCCGACCCCAATCCAGTGCGGCTTCTTCCTCAAGTCAGCCTCCTGGTAACATGGGATCTCTGCACGGCAAGCACCGAGCATGCAGACACGGTCCCTCGTCATGCGGCTCCGCCCTACCATGCATCCTGGCCTTGTCCTTTTGGGAAGGTTGACAGACACGGCCCATTGCGCCATTCTCGACAGAGCATGGGCCAGATGACGACACGAAGACGTTGGCAAGCGTCGGTCACTTATCGTCGGGCATTTATTTCTTCTATCAATTCACGGCAACAATTCCGAGTCATGAACATGAAGGGAATTGGCATCAGCCTCGCACCCATTGAACCCAACCTACATTGAATCCTACCCATCGACCACAAACCAGGCAGGCAGCGCCGGACCAGATAGTCAGGAGGCACCGGCGGAAAAGCGGGTCGCTTCGGCACGGCGGGGCCGGCTCTTGCGTGCTCGCCCCGTGGACTGACGATCCGCCGTTCCTCCTTACGACCTGCCCTGTTGGGGATGCCCATCTACAATGTTCTTTTCTGTCAAGCCATGGTCCGACCAACCATGAATTGTGTGGACGATCGACCGACGGCCTGGGCGGATCGCGACATGCGCCACGCCTCCAGTCCGTCTGGGGGCGCTGACTTGTGACCATACACGGTTCGACAGCTTCGTCAGCACGCCAGTCCGTCAGTTCGCCCACGGCATCAGGGCAACTCGAGCCAATCCTTGCGCGCCCTCTCTTCCTCTGCGCCGTCTCTGACTGTTGCATTCGCACTCGACCGCTTCAGAGCGAGTGTTGCACCCGCCGTCCCTCCGCCAAGGCACCGGGCCAGCACACCACTATGCCGCACGTGGAGATGGCACAGGTAGCTTCCTAACTCGGAAACCGATGGCCATGGACGATGCTCTGATGTGCTGCATAAATACTCCTTCAACAGGACCCTCTACGCTGGCTGTCGGTCTACGCGTCCTTTGGCAGGCTCATCCTTCTCTTTGATCGGTATCCCTGGAGCTCTCTCTTTCTCTCTCTCTCTCTCTCCTGCTTCGCCATGAAGTTCCGAA